CTCAACCCTTTTATTCTCTCCCTCTTTTATTGTCTGTTCTTCTCAATTCAAGTGGAATCTACATCACAGCTCATCATAGAATGACTTTTATTGCCAAGAGCATGGGGGGAGGGGCATTTTTTTTCTCATCTTCAGAAAAGCCAAGAATGGAAATTTTCAAAGGTATCCACTCCCTGACCATCCTCACAGTGGCTCTCAACCTTCCTGATCACCACGTTGTTACACATGGAACAGAGGAGTCGCAACCCACAGGTTGAGAACTGCTGCAACAACCTTCCCTTAATTCTACCTGCACATTGTTATTCAATGGTAGGATACAGGTCCCTACCGTTCAGGTATGACACAGAATTTTAAAATGTCTGTGTAAACCACAAGATTAAAAAGGTTTTCCAAATATATATTTTTGGACCAAGTCTACCATGGGATAAGCTGAGAAGAGAGTACAGAGAACATTATAATTTTGGTTTTAAATAAATATGAAATCTTATTTTGCTATATCTATGAAGGACTGTTAAATGGTCGTATTAACCCTCTCTGCTATGAGATCATATTTTTTATGGTTTTTGACTTACTGACATCATACGGAGAATGAATCAAGCAGAATGAACCCTGTTAGATTAGAGACTAACCCACAATATTCACCTTGACACTGCATGATCCCTTGACCCTCCCTAAAAGGTCTTTTCCCTGCAATCCTAACACACAATTGTCCTTTAAGAAAATAAAAATTATAATAGTACAACATTCAAATAATAAATTAGAGAATAGCTATTTATCATACAAAAGGTTCTGTTTATTACAGAAGAAGTTTCCAAAGAATTTATTTTCAATGAAGGAACTCCCTTATGGCATTTAAAATATAATTTAAAAGACTGGGCATGATGGCTGATGCCTGTAATCCTAGCATTTTAAAAGACCAAGGCAGATGGATTGCTTGAGCTCAAGAGATCAAGACCAGCCTGAGCAAAAGTGGGCTGCCATCTCTATAAAAAATAGAAAATTAGCCAGACGTTGTGGCTGGCACCTGTAATTGGGAGAATGAGGCAAGAGGATCTCTTGAGCCCAAGAATTTGAGGTTGCTGTGAGCTATACTGATGCCTTGGCACTCTTCCCAGGTTGACAGAGTAAGATTCTGTCTCACAATAAAATACAATATAGTAAAAATTTCCTATTACATATTTATCACAATTTTCTCAATATCACTGAACCCATCTACTACTCAGAATTCATTTTCTAAATTCCATTCTTCAATAACTGGAAACAGGACTCTATGGAGAAATGGCTAGGTCAGAAATAGCTAGGAAGTATAAAATGAGCTTGGAATGTCTTGGGGTTCTAGAAAGTAAGGAATTGTTTAGATCTAATAAGGATCTATCAAAAGGAAACAGGGACCAACCCAAATTGGCTCCCAATGGTCAAATCTGGGAAACATTAAGCAACAAAATAACGTAGTTATGGATGATTACTCATAAGATAGAAATAACATCCATGAGTTCATAGGGGCCTAAATAAATCAGTAGAGGAGGAACAGAATTCCAGCTAGTATGTGTCAAAGAATGGGGGGAATAGAAAATCATAATTTTTCAAACAACATTGTAGCAGTTGTTTCAGGTATGGAGAATCATTAATGGATGCTAATATTTGTGATCAAAAGTATGATAAGAAGTAGAAAATTTCCATAGCCTAAAATTACTTCTCCAAGAGATATTTATCAATATACAGTGAGAAAAACATGGTGATGCTATTTAAGTGGCCAAAGTTATTATCTCCAATAATGAGGCATAATTATATCATGATGTGAGGTACAGGAGAGGACATAACATCAATTCTACAATATTCTTGCCAAAATTCATAGCTTTACTCTAATCATGAGGAAAAATACCAGATGAATCCAAATTGAAAAATATTCTAAAAACAGCTGGCCGGTTCTTACAAATGTAAAAAGGTCACAAAAAGCAAGGTCAAAAAGAAGAGCTGTCACAGATTGGAGACTAAGAAGACACAAAACTAGATGCAATGTGTGATCTGTATGATTATTATAAAAGTGAAAATGGCAATGGCTGCAGCCATCATGGACGCTGTTGGGCATGACAAGCAATTTAGTTGCAGGAGAGTAAAGTGGTGAGGCTCGTGATAAAATCATGAGCTGTGGTAAAATCAGAGATGCTGACCAAGCCTAAATCAGGAAGGGTTGATGGTACCAGACCAGGGATGCTTGTGCTCTATCCTTTACATAAGAGGGAAGGGCCTGAAGGACATCAGTAAAGGAATATTCTGTAGGTATGCATCTTGGGGAGACCATTCAGGCTACTATGTCCCAATATGAGTTGCTGGGATCAGACCTGAGACGGGAGATGATGTGGGAGCCAGTCTCCAAGATGGCCCCATGATCTGCACACATGCCCTGAGAGGCTCCTTCCATATTGCATGAAGACTGTATCTTCTAGTCTCCTTTTCAGGAAGATGTAACCACATGACTAATGGGATATAAGGAGAATTGCACATAATTTCCAAAGATTATCCTTAAATGGAGGGGTATACACATCTTGTTCCTTCTTCTTCCTGGTGGTTAGAATGTGGATGTGATGTCTGAAGCCCTGGTAGCCATCTAGGATTCTGAGGTGAACCCCTCTTTGCAGATGGTGAAACACCACAGGGAGATGATCCCTAACACATTCTTTCAGTCCTAGAATGCTCATCTGTAAACTTCATTTATGAGAAGAAAAAAAAAACTTACCTTGTTGAAGACACCGTTTTACAGATTTTCTGTACAGATTGGTCATTCATAACCAATCTTATAATTACTTTGTTAACAAATGGGAACTTTAAAATGCCTGTTAGGCCACACAAGTAAGCCATTATTTTAGGTGAGCATGTGATGAAATGATGTCTATTTCATATAAAGGCAAATTGTCTTAATAGCATGAATTCGTGTCATTCTCAAGGTATATAATGAAGTAAAACAAACAACAACTTACCTGCCAAGCATCAAAATCAGGTAAATATGCACGGGCATTTCCTGGGTCAAAGGGCCCACGACCTTCTTCACAACTGCTTAGATCATGTAGAGCATAAGCGATCGAATACACGGCTTGTTTGACGTTGTTCGTAATTCTTAGCTGAGACACATCCAGATAGGTGTTTTTAAGATCTTCCAACTTCTCTTCTCCGGTGCAGAATTTATCAGACACGGCATCCAATCTGTCTTCTTTACCAGTCATATTCACTCTGTGGTCACTATTGTATGGAACGCTGCTGTTGGGCCAAGTGCAGTTAAAAGCAGTTTGCCAGAATTCGATGGTCAGGACGTCCCTTGGATTCTTGCTAGGATGTACATCGTAAAGAAATTCTCGTAATCCTGGTATATCAGTTCTTGGTATTGCAAATCCAATACTTCCACCAAAATACGGGAAATATTCAGGCTTTGCAATAAGGGCGGAGGTGACCCACGCTTCGCTGGCTATCCACGTCCTGTCGGTTATGTTATGGTAAACCATTTCCAGCACAAAAGGACTGAGGTCGATATCAGATGCATAAAGCACAATGACCCTGGCGGTGGAGGTCTTCACAGCATCTACAGCTTTTTGCATTTTCTCATAGGAATAGACTTTGGGGATGACTTCAGAGAATGCGAGGCAGAGGTTGGCATCCTCTATTTTTTCCTTAAAAGTTTTTACCTCATATTTTCCATAGTCATCATCAGCTGCTATGACACCGATCCAGACCCATCCGAAGTGTTGGATAAGTTTTACCATGGCTTCCGACTGGATCTTATCACTGGCTATCACACGAAGAAAACTAGGAAACTGGTATTTGTCACTAAGAAATGAGCAGGTTGAGGCATAGCCCACCTACAATTGAAAATATTCATGCCGTTAATAAAAAGAAAGAGCCAATTTGAAATTATACAGTTTCAGGGTATTTTTATTGGACAGGGAGGGAACTTAACCATTCTTCTCCCTTTACTCTGACATCCTTCAATAGATAAAGTGACTGCTACTCCTGTCCCTTACTCAGCAGGTGGGGACTTTGGGAGGGAATGCTTTGGGCCTCTCTATCTCCCCTTTCCCACCCCATCCCAAGGGATTTGGAGGAGTTCATAATTAACATGATGACAGTCAATGCACTACATTTCAAGGTGGGATCACTGCAGTGAAAAGGAACCCATCTGCCCTTTACTCTACGCACCCCAGAGTCGAAGGGAGTGAGTCAGCCATTCACTCAGATTTAGCTTCCCGTCTATACAGATGATGGAGTGAATGGACTCAGGCACAGTCCACTTGGCAAGCCCAGTTCTTTCTTCTCTCTCTCTGCCTCCCTCTCTCCCTTTCCCCCCTCCCACCACTACCTTCTGCCTTTCTCTCCTCTTTTCTTCCTTTATTTTACACTGCCAAGGCTTCTGAGTATGCAAGTTCCAAAACTCATACTGGGAAAAGTGGTAGAAAACACCATCCCCACTTCAGGTCTAAGCCACGTTCTTCAACAAAGTTACCAGAAGTCCTCATTTTATAGGTGCTTGACCAGATAAATGAAGAGGTGCTTTTTTTCTCATTTGGACAATGATCTTTGATGTATTTTTCATTAGTAGGAACCTAAGAATGGAGGTCAGGTGACCACAAAATCCTCCCTGTCTTACATGTATTACTGCCAAAGCTTACCCTCTACCTCAGCACTCTCTACTTAAGAACTTGCTCCCGTATCCATCCCATCACCCTCTCATCGTATTAATGCATCATCTCCAATAGGATCTCCAATATTATAATTTCATAGCTCCACGACTGTGAATTTCTTCATCAGTGCCAGAACGCTCCTAGTTTCTCTTTCCTGTACCCTATGTTCCATTCTTATTCTACTGGATAAAGTTAAAATTCTCCTTTCAAACCATGCAGCCAGCAATATCATGGAAGCCATCTGTAGGAAAGAATTTTGTTTAAGAAGCAGACATCTGATTTCTAGCTTTGGCTGCATAATGTATCAGTCAGTGGAAGATCTTACACCTTCTGAACCTCAGTTTCCCCATGAGTGAAATCAGGATAATTATAGTTACATTTTAAGGTTGCTCAATATATTAAGTAAGTTAACACATGTGAAAGTATCTGTCACACAGATTTCTTTTACCTTCTTTGCAGGTTTACTACAGGATTTAAATGAGAAAATCTATCTAGATGTCTCCAACCAGTGCTGGGACCACAGCTGATATTTGGTGGGGGAGAGAGCTCACAGCAGCACCAGTGTGAGCTGCAGGAAGTCCACACCTGAGGTGACAGCTGTGTCACCCAACCCCTCCTCTTTGTTCTGTAATCTGTAGTTTCCCGTTCCCCTCGATTTGCCTTTGTAGCTTTAAATAATTTTTGCAATTATTTCAAATTCACCCATTGCTTCAGTAACACAAATAAGCTTAATCGTCATTCACATTAAGTCCTGACTATTGACACTTTAACAACCCTCCTTAGAGATAATCATAGAGCTCTCGTTCTATTTTCTTAATAATCCCTTTTTTCTAACATTAGCTCTTCTTATGTTGAAATGTGTCACTGCCTCTCGATTTAGAGTAATCTGTAAGGTTAGCATCTCCAAAACTCTAGCCAACTTGCAAAATTCCCCGGCTCATTTCAGTATGCTAGTGTATGAACGAAAAGGGTCGTGAATAAGAAGCATTAGTATTGGCAAGAAACAAATGAGTTCCTTATACCATCTAGGGATCAACAAGCAAGTGTTTACCAGATGCTTCACACAGTGCTTCAAAGCAGTACACCTACTAAGATGCCAGCCTGCAAGCCACTGGGTCACAACCTCAAGCCAAAAAGTAGAGCAGGTGCCGAGGGACATGGAAGACTCTCACGCTGGCTCTAAGGCGGCACTGGTTCGCACTAGCCAAGGCCCATCTGAACGTAGTAAGTAGGGGCAGCAGCATCACTCCAGCCCATTGGCCTTTGCTCTTAACCCAGCCTCCCTCGTGTACCCTGTTGCTGTAATTTCCACAGGGTTTGGGTGGTAGTGGGGGGCACTTAAAGTATTCTATTTTTTTATGCCAATAGATTTAGGAGACACACTTTTTTTTGTTCCATGAATGTATTGTACCATGCTGAAGTCAGGACTTTCAGCGTGCCACCGATAGTGTGCACTGTACCCAGTAGCTGGGGTTTTATCCCTCAGGACCCTCCCACCCAGTTTGTGTTTTTTAAAAATTTAGTACCCAGGTGGCGCCTGTGGCTCAAGGAGTAAGGCACTGGCCCCATATACCAGAGGTGGCAGGTTCAAACCCAGCCCCAGCCAAAAACTGCCAAAAAAAAAAAAAAAAAAAAAAAAAAAAAATATATATATATATATATATATATATATATATATAGTACCCAGCTGAGATACCTGAGGTAAATAATACAATCCTAGAATCCTCGAAGCAGCAATGGATAAGGATGATCCTCCTGCTCCAACAATTCCCACCAGCATAGCTCCCATGCTGTTTCTAAAATTGGGCTTATTTTCCTCCTGCCCTGTAAGGAATACCAGAGCTGCTTCTACAGATTTGGAGATGGTGGAACAGGTGTCGAAGATCTGATAGCCCAAAGTGACATTGGGCAAAATATCCTCCCTCTCATTGATCTCCCGGATTGTGTGGATCATGGCCTTCATCCAGCGGAATCCTCGAAAGTTAAACCTGACAAAGAAATAGCTTTTGTAAATTAACAGGTAGGGCCTTGAGGGGGAAAAGCAGCTTTTGGTCAGACTTGATTACAGCATTTTGCCAAAACATCAGTGGTCACCTCTGTTGTCTGAGGTTGTTACTTTTTCATAAATGATGTTACAAACTCGAAGAGTTCAAGTGTGAATCATAATCATTGCTGATTGGCTTGGATTGAGAAACACTCTAAGTGTTTTCTTCTATCTATGTGTCTTTTCACATGGTATAGTCTTCTCAAACTGCTGATTAGCTGTCTTCAGAAAAATATTCTTACATTCACAATTCTCCCCACCAAACCCAGTAACCCCTCCAAACATTTCCCCCTTGGCTGGAAGTCCCTGGTGCCCGGGGAGTCTCCTCTCTCTCTTCCTTGCCTCCTCTTACTTTCTTCTGTACGTTAACCATGGTGTAATTATAAAATTATGTAAATATGTGAAAATACACATAATACGAGTACCTAAAATTGATATGTACTATGACTCACTCCTATGACTTGGCTGTTAATACTGAGAGGTTTTTTTTTTTTTTTTTTTTTGCAGTTTTTGGCCGAGGCTGGGTTTGAACCCACCACCTCTGGTATATGGGGCCAGCACCTTACTCCTTGAGCCACAGGCACCACCCTGCTGAGAGATTTTTAATTGAAAATGTCTCTTTCCCTACTACTCTTACCTATAATTATAAACCAGAAGCCCCCTCCTTTCCATTTCCTAACGATTAAAAAGGCTATTTCTCTTGCAGTCTATCACCACATTTTTTTTTCAATTTCCTCACCATTAAAAACAATTTTATCACAAACTCTTTCTTCCCAGTTTTAACCAAACTTCAACCTAATTGAAAGAAAGTGGCCTGAGACTTTCGTCTCTGAATATCTTTTACAGCTATCATCTCTAACACTTTATCTTCTACTTAATAAATATTTTTTGAATTGAATATCTAATAGCAAATAGCCCTGTTGAGAGATTAGAATTTTCCTCCCGGTCTCTTTAATTGGATTTTTGTTTGTTTTTGTTCTTCACTGAATATGTAATTATTGATTCCTCTGGTGCTAGACGCTATGAATACAGCCGTGAGCAAGATAGAGCAATGTCTGGGCAAAATAACTGAAAAAATAGACTAGAGCTATAGCACAAAATGATTTAAAAAAAAGAAAAAGTGATCGGGTAGACGTAGGAGCTATCACATAAAGAGGAGGGGACCTTGTTGGAGGAATGGACAGCCATGCTGAAACTTGAAGGGTGACATGAGAATGGAGGAAGGATTCTGCAGGCAGAGGGAAGAGCATGTGTGACCAAGAGAACATGGAGCATTCAAGGAGAGGAAAGCTCAGCATGTTTAGAGGAGACAGCATAGGAATGCCCGCGGCACCATGAAAGCAGAAACCAGAGGACCAGAAGGTGCCAGAACAGAAGGCCTTTACTATCCTAAGGTAATTGGTTTCCAAATTTATAACAGTGACAGTATAAATATTTGAAATAAATATAGAAATATCTTTTTAAAGTAATAGAGCAGTACATTTTAAGGACTAGAAAATATTCACCTATGCTGAACCACTAATTCGACCCCCAAAATGTCTCTAAATGTACACTGTTCCTCCAAAGGAAAAAGCTAAAGCCCCAAACTGTTCATTACAGAATTATTTACAGTATTGAAAAGCTGGCAAGAACTTACATGCTCAGTGGTAATAAATTATGGTACATTGACTTGCTGGAACGTATTTTCATCATTAAAAAACTATAATTATATGGCGACGCCCATAACACAGTGGTTACGGTGCCGGCCACATACACCAAGGCTGGGAGGTTGAAACCCAGCCCGGGCCAGCTGAAACAACAATGACAACTGCAACAAAAAAAAATTGCCGGGCATTGTGGTGGGCACCTGTAGTCCCAGCTACTTGGGAGGCTGAGGCAAGATCGCTTGAGACCAAGAGTTTGAGGTTGCTGTGAGCTGTGATGCCACAGCACTCTACCCAGGGCAACAGCTTGAGACTCTGTTAATAAACAAATAAAATAAATAAAAAATAAAAAGGCTATAATTATAGAAACTACACAGCAGTATGCATATAATATTAAGTGAAACAGCCAGTGTGCAAACTTGTTAATCACACCTCCGCTGTGATTAAAACTACATATGAAGTGTTAGGTTAGGCAGTTAGACATGAGCAGGGAGGATGGTGGATGTGGTTAGGCTATTTTGGACTGACTTGGGTCGGGCTGGCCAGAGTCGTTATGGGAATAGGGCTAATGGAAACCTTGCAGGTGCAAGACCTTGAGGGCAGGTTGTCTTGGGGAGCTGGTTGTATTGGGGGACTAACCAATGTCTCTGGGACTTTCTGATGTGGACAGATAGACACTAATTTTTATGGGAATATGCTAATGGGACAGAGCTGATCAAGACCCTGGGAATTTCCAAGAAGCAACCTACACTCTACAAAAGTTGTATATAAAATTCATCACTGCACTCTCCATGGGGCCGGCAGCCACTAGGGCAGGGCTCGGTTTGAGGTCCAACCCATTAGGATCAACGTTTCCTTTCTTGCTAAAACTTCACATGTTCTCGTTCTCGCCAATTATTTCAGCAACTACCTCAGACCATCACTGCGCCACCCTAACACAAAGAATAAAATGATTAACAGGGAGATTTTTTAAATAAGCACAGGATATTTACTGGAAGGGTACGATTGGGGATTTTTTTTATTCATTGTTTTCCATTATTATAGTCACAATATTATTACATAATGTATACTTTTTTTTTCTCATAATGTTTCTCTAAATCCTACTTTGTTTAGATCAATGAAAACAGGAATGAAAGTATTCCTTTCCTCATTGCATTTTACTATCTTCCTCCGCTGAGAAATATTTTCAAAATGATGGTTTTCTTCATCCATATACTTAAGCCAATAGCCAACCAAAATTAGTACCTTATTAAAACTGTGGGTTTCAGAATGAGATTTCTCCAAACTCCAAGCTGAATTTCTAGATGGGTTATAGATAAAAGTTAATTGTGCCCAAATGAAATTATCATCAGATTCGGCCCAGCTTGGCTTCTGAATACCACATAGGCCAGGCCTTCTGTGAGGACTCTCTCCCCTAAAGAAAAAGTTACAATGAATGGAGGCGTATTAAGAGGTCGGGAACACTGGGTTTGGGTAGAGATAGGAGGGAATTGTTAACTGTTATCCGTGAAAATGAATCATTCAGTTCTAGTTTTGAAGATATATATATCAAATACTTTTAAAATAGGGAATGTTATCAATCCAAAACACTTAAGTATATTTAGGATGGATCAAAATGCCAGGGAAAGAGATTCAGCCTTGTATAACATAAACATAAGCAATTTGGATTTCAGTCAAGTCAGGCTGAGAGTCCAGCAGAATACCCACAATGCCTCACATAATTGATCCATATTCAGGACAAGAAACTGGTTTTTCTGATTCCCCAAACCATATGAAACAACTCTCAAAGACAAGGCAATCAACAGATTTTCATCAGATAGTCATTAACCCGGAGATGACTAGGCTATTGAAATGATCAAACATAGACTTGAAAGTAGCTGTTGCAACCCTGCTCCATGAAGTGAGGGCAAACCCTCTTGAAATATGGAAACAGAAGTCTCAGAAAATAAATAGAAGTTTGTCTTTAGGGGAAATTTTAGAACCGAAAAGCCCCTCATCTCTGTCCATCCTCTGTAGAATCTGCTCTGCAGAAATGTTCAGCCCAGCCTAACCCCTGCCTCATCTGCCCACCCCTCTGCTTCTCTTCAGTCTTGGCAGCTTCCTGATGGTCCCTGGCCCCAGTCCCTTCAACTGTCACAGTCACTTGCTTATTCCTTCTCCTGCCAACCTCCTCTGTACAGCTCATTGCACTTGCAGATGCATCAACCCAACCAACTGTCCATACCTGAGTGGGGCTGTGCAGAGTTCCCCAAATGTAGAATTCTGTAATCAAATACATTTTGGAAATACTGCACACTTGACAGCACCTGTGGCTCAGTGAGTAGAGCGCTGGCCCCATATACTGAGGGTGGTGTGTTTGAACCCAGCCCCAGCCAAACTGCAACAACAACAAAAAAATAGCTGGGCATATTGGCAGGCGTCTATAGTCCCAGCTACTCCAGAGGCTGAGGCATGAGAATCACCTAAGCCCAAGAGCTAGAGGTTACTGTGAGCTGTGACACCACAGCATTCTACCGAGGGCAACAAAATGAGAATCTGTCTCTTAAAAAAAAAAAAAGAAAGAAAGAAATACTGCACACTTAGCCCTGTCTGAGGGGAACCTTCACAATGCATGTAGTCTATTACAGGTTCTATTATAACTTGGTGGCTCCCCATATATATTTGATCCCAAAGTCCTTTTTTCAACAAGCATTTATTAGTTTGGGAAATAATTCTTAAAATGAAAAAAAACACACAGTTGGCTGATTCACAGGGCCTAAAAGAAAACCCTAGTTCTGCCTTATACATTTCAGGTGACCTATGCAAGCCATTTAACTTCTCTGAGCCTTAGTTTCCCCCACCTGAAACGTGAGCGTAACATCTTCAACCAACTGTTTTAAGAGTAAGATGTCTTCTGTATTTTAACACTGAAGAAACATTACTTCTTTCTGAGAGGTTCACCCCCAGAAAAGCAGAGGCAGATCCAATTTATTTTCATATTAATCTGAAATTTAAAAATAAAAAAACAAGATTATGAAGGGAATAAAAAGAAGTTCCAGTAAATAGTGGAGAACACATTAAATGATTCTGTTTATGAAACCCATGTGTTAGTGCACCATATTATGACAAACTCTAAGCATTCATTTAATGTTATTAAGGATTAAGGAAGTGGAAACTTCTATAAACAGTAATGAACTGAGTCTGTTAACAATGCAGCTATAAGCAAAAGCCTTCCTCCTCCTTCTCCCCTTTGCTTCACTGTAAGAACAGAAAACAATTAGAAGGTCCAGGAAAGAGAGAAGTAGTGGCTGATTGCAATCTTTTCCTTTTGCCAACAGCATTACAGATGACCCTTCCCTTTAATGATATCTCAAACGTGGAGCATCAAGTACGATTAAAGGACGAGAGCTATGATCAGTAACCATTTGCTGGCGTAAGAAGTTGCTAAATATTTTACATCATGAATTTACAATTATAATTACTCTGAGCATCACGGAGATGCTCACTACATAATGTAAAATGCCCAAGACAAAATAATGTCTGTGCTTTGGTCACAACTATACAAAATTTATGGGTGCATTTGAACAAAGGGCTGAGAAAGCACATAGGAAAGTGGAAAGAGCTGTTTTGTTATGGTGATAGGATGGTGGATGATTGTTTTCCTTTCTCTTCATTGCTGGCGTTCTTTTCATATCTGAAGAGTACGTGCGTTTGTGTGTGCATACGTGCAATGTGTGAGACAGCTAACCCATGTTTGCCTTTCTTATAATGGATCGCTAGCAAATTCAGATCAGGTTTCCTGATAAGGTGGGTGTAGGAGAGTAGAGGCAGAAGCTTTCTAGAAGCCAAAGGAATCCTGCCATGAAAATGAGAGATAAATCACCATTCCCACGCTGTGTATTTTCACTTGAGGAGAATTTAGTCTATTACAATTAACAGCAAAGCTGTAACAATGCATAATTCTTTTTTTATCTTTTTTTTTTTTTGAGACAGAGTCTCACTTTGTCACTCTCAGTACAGTGCTGTGGCATGACAGCTCACAGCAACCTCAAACTCTTGGGCTCAAGCCATACTCTTGTCTCAGCCTCCCAAGGAGCTGAGACTACAGATGCCCCCCATAACACATCTCTATTTTTAGAGACGGGGTCTCGCTTTCGCTCAGGCTGGTCTTGAACTCTTAAGCTCAGGCAATCCACCCACCTCAGCCTCTCACAGTGCTGGGATGACAGGTGTGAGTCACTGCACCCAGCCAACACTGCATAATTCTACACCATAGTTTCATAAGGTATACATAAATCATCAGGACGTCTTGCGAAAATGTGATTCTGATTCAGCAGGTGTGCAATGCGGCCCACGTTTCTGTATTCCTTCCAAGTCCTTAGGTGATTCTGATGCTGCTGGCCCACAAGCCAGCATCTGTAGAACAGTGCTCTGTACTACATAAAACCCACCTTTCTTCTGTCTAAGTTACAGAAGTAGGAAAGGACTCACTGGAGACCAAGCTTTCCCCATTTCTAAGCAATGCCCACCTTGGAGAAACTGAGGCCTAGTGACAGAAAGTACCATCCTGAGTGAAAAGGATGGTGTCAGAGTCAGGACTAGGCATCATGGCTCCAGTTTCAGACTCTGACCCTGACATCTGCCACTTCTCCGGCACCTGCAATCGATGTAAAAAGAAGATAGGAAGAATGGCTTACCCTTCACATTTTGCTGATACTGGTTCCAGAATAGACTCATCGACTGGGATGGTCCTGGAGTGAATAGGAAACATTCCTCCAATAACAACTGAATGGTTGTCGGCATCTACGTACCCATTCAAATCAAACTTGCCCAGCAACCGACAGGTCTGCTCTTCCTCTTCTTTGCCTTCAGCACCCAACACAGTCCATAAAAGTGTAAGAATTCCTAGGGCCAAGCGTTTATTTCGGCTGGCCATCTTAATAAGGTGAGTTTGGGGGAAATGACAAGTGTTGAAGTTAGACTAGTTTTAAAGAGGCGCCTAGATGGAGCATTAGGGTGAGCGTGTGTGTGTGTGTGTGTGTGTGTGTGCGCGCGCGCGCGCGCGCGCGCACCTAATCCCCAGGACACAGCTTGCCACTACTTGCTGTGTAATTGTCATGTCTCAATCACAGAGCCTCACGCTCACTTGCAATTTATGGATCTGGACTAGGAGCTGAGGAACGCTTTTGAAAAGAGACTCATAAAAATCCTTTTATGTTTAGCAATAATATTTAATGGCATAACAGTGCGCTTTGAGTTTTAAGAAGTAATTTCATTTTGTAAAAACTGTCCCTTTCCCGTTGGTCACCTGCCAGTCTCCTTCATTCTTCAGCCATCCTGGTGGCTGGACGCTTCTCTTACCCTAAAGAAGAGGAGAGGCACCTGTTTCATCACAAGGTATTAACAAGGTGGCCTCAGGCCAAACTCTGTCCTCAGGCTACAGGAAAAGTTGAGTAGAGAACCATGGATGGGATCTGGAACAGATGACATCATTTTTAATCTGCGCACTGTTACTTTTGTTAGCGTGTTGGTGGAAGAGCCACTTAATTTCTGTGTTACGATGTCCTCGTCAGTGACTAGGATGGTAATGAGCTACCTTAGGAAAAGCCCCATAAGAGTTGAACGTTTTTCACAGGCCTCATTTTCTTTCATCTGCACTTTAAGATGAAGCGTTGCCCTCAGCTCCCTGCTGCCTCTGTCACTGGTCCCACATTCGTGTTCCTTCCTGAGAATGCCCTCTCCCCATTTCTTGCTCAGCCCCTCTCAGAGTTGTCCCCCAGTCTATTTCTCCAGGACAACTCATCACGGATTCCCAGTCCCCAATCTTTCTCTCAACCCCCTCATAAAGATTCCCCCACGGAGTATAAATTCGTATTTGTAGAACACAATCCAGCAATATAGATCAGGGGCACGAAAAATCTGCATGCTCTTCTATCATGTGCTTTGACTTCAAAGTATTTATCTCCAAGAAGCAATAGAGATCTACAAAAACCTAATACACATGTGAAGATATTGAGTACGGTTTTCTTGTATTATCAAAACATGGAACAAACTAAAAATACACAATAGGGAATTTTTCAATCAGTTATGATTGATTCACTTGGAATACAAAGAAGCCACTGAAATCATGTTTTAGAAAATTATTTTCTCACAAGGGAAAAGTACACAATATGCCTACAGGGAAGGGAACAAAGCGGCAGATAAGGTGGCTTCCTAAATGTCTAAAATTTCCTGATATTACCTCTCTCTCACCTACATATTGCCATCAAATGGAACACGGCAAATCAGAAGTCAAAAGAAAGAAAAAAGAAGAAAAATAATCACCTTTCCCTCTACCTTAGCAAACCAATCATTTTCACATTTCCATATTCATTTTCAGTTTAAACTGACACTGTGCAGTATTTTGGTATTAGATTATGTATGATTTTAATTTTCATCGCTAATCTTTTTTTTCTTTTTTTGCAGTTTTTGGCGGGAGCTGGGTTTGAACCTGCCACCTCTGGTATATGGTGCCAGTGTCCTACTCCTTGAACCACAGGCGCCGCCCTTTCATCTCTATCCTTTCCTACATTTTTCTCCTGTGCTCTACAACACAATTACACCTCCCATGTATTTTCCACATGGCAGCATTAGCACCACCAGTCATCTGGGTCCCACCCTCCCCTTCCACATGAAGGTCATTTCCTCCACCTCATCCCCCCCCCCAGAAGGATTTCCCACTTATTAGCTAAGTGTAATCTCCTTTCTGATCCTGGGATACACCAAAGAGAGAGGCTCCATGACCTCACTGGCGAAGTCGCAGCCCATGCCTCAGTCTTCCATAGCCATCTTCCACCTTCACAAGTGAACTAGCAGATGACATGCCCCTGGGCCCTGACTCAGTGACATCTCCATCTGCCCCATGAGTCTCTGTCTTCTAAAGTGTGGTTCACAGGTTCCACCCTGATGCTTTCAAAATGACACTGACAAGTCCAAGAAAAGACTGATTCCCAGAGGACTCTCTCCCCAGATATGCTTTAGAGTTTAGCTTTGTCCAAACAAAATTACGCTTTGCAAGACAGCTCACACCTCACTGCTGGCCTGAGAATCCTGCTCTGGAGCTTTGGGTTCACTCACTGGCCCTTTGCAGACCTGCTGGGAACTATTCCTCCCTAGCTTGCAATCTCCCTCTTTTACCAGAAGGCAGCTGTTTCTGAGCAATTATCCCTCTTGTTGCCAAGGGCTACCCCTGCACAAAAGTGTGCTTATCACCAAAGCTGATATGTCTTTGCCTTTTGGTAAAAAGCTGTGAAAAGTACCGTCAAAAATCATTAAAATCGATTATTTTAAGTTATATTAATAATTTTTAAAAGCTATAAAGTTTATGATTATTTTACATTTTACAAATTGCTTTTCTATATCTTATTCTTCCTCTAGATCAGGAACTAGTTTCAACATTGATGAGATTTCTTTTTTTTTAATTGAATCATAGCTGTGTACATTAATGCAATCATGGGGTGCAATGTGCTGGTTTTATATACCATTTGAAATATGTTCATCAAACTGGTTAACTTAGCCTCTACCACATTGATGAGACTTCCAATTCGTGCACAAGCATCTGGTATCCCGTGTTTTTCTAATTCCCAGGACGATAGCCTATTTTACCAGGGCCACAGCGGTTACATCCTCCACATGCAGTAGAATTCAATAGAGATGAGGCAGAAATAAAGAAAAACAACAGCCACACTCTGAGGCAGGGGGTTTTTATCATGTGCACGGTGGTGGATGCATATCACCCCATTTTGCCCTCCTAACACCCTACATGACTGGTTAGATTCTTTTGCTTTTCCAGGAAGAAATGTGAGCTCACACAGCTAGCACACACTAAGACGTAGACACCAAAGCCTGCAGACAACAAACAGGGGACTTTAGACTAACTAGCCTTTTTTTTGGAGTCTAAGGGTCCTAATGAGTCAGCAATGTTCTGGTTCTGGGTGAGCCTTTCCAAGGCTCAAGTTCAATGATAGCTAATAATACACTCCCAGAGCAAGCAGTAGCAAGTCGTTTTGTTAAGCATTAAGGTGAGACTGTTTCTTCAATAACACTTTGAACCTAATTGCCATGTCCATGGGACTCTGACTTCGAAAACCCTCATCAAGGCAAAAAGACATCAGATGAACGTTGGTGCATGTGCCATGGGTATTGACTCCCAAGTGCCCACAGCCAGATTCCTAGATCTGAGACTGTGGGCTCCCATAGCGGTGATCTCGCAGTTCTCTAAGGGCCCCAGCAAAAGTCAGGCTCCCTCCTAGAACAATAACATAGCCCGTCCAGACTTGTCTTTGCCTTTAAGCAAAGGAAAACACCTGAGCTCCTGCAGGTTCTGAGAACCATCTTATTAACAAAGGCTGAGTGTATTTAAACACTGTTATATGGTTTCTGGGAAAAGCTCAAACCCTGGGTCTACTGTGGAGGAACACTGCTGAATGCTTCTGAGAAGCCTGAGCCTTGTAGCCACTGCAGTGAACTCAACGCTGGATCCCAGTCATTCATCAGACGCAACCTGTCAGATGCTATTCAGCTTTTAAATCTCCCTATGCCATCCCTTACCTTTATATGGAATCCTAGGTCATACCACACCAGCAGATAAATAAATATACCAATCAGCTTTGTTTTCTTTTCTCCTACATGAAGTTATCCTAAACAGGCAAGAAATGAATACTGCCATATTCATATTTGTCATATTTATAGAACACAATCCGGCAATATAGATCAGGAGCATAAAAGATCTGTATGCTCTTCTATCACGTGCTAGTTATAGGCATTTAAATCGTTCTTTTTACTTTACATAACATATTACAGTTGAACAACATGGAGATTGAACAGTATGTGTTGGCTTTACACAGGTTTGCCTGTGTCTCTGCCACCCCCGCCACAGCGAGACCCCCTTGCTCTTCCTCAGCCACTCAGCCAGTTTGGGAGGAGTTAAAGCTATCCGTGGATTTCCACCTGTGGGTGGAGTCGGTGCCCCAAACCCCATGTGGTTCAATGGTCAGCTGTAGTTTTTTTTGATCTGTGTCTCCAATAGTTAAAAAATTACTACTTGTAGTTTGAATTTGGGGGCATTAGGACATCGTGGGCTTGCCTGTATCTTTATAATAAGAAAAAAGGAAAACTAAAAATATATCAGCTTTCCTAAGACTGTTGTTATCATAAAACTCAAGTTATTGATGAGAGGGTCTTGAGGTGTCTAAGAAGTCAGCTTTGGGATTTTTTAACAGGTCAGTACTGATCGCATGTTACAGAAGAGCCCCTGTGTGTCTAAATAGAGAAAGCCCTCAATTACAGCAGAGGAGGAAGACATTCAGACACTCGAGGCATCAAAATTTTCAAATGGCTGAGGTGAGAGGATCGCCTAAGCCCAGGAATTGGAGGTTGCTGTGAGCTGGGTGATGCCGTGGCACTCTACCAAGGGCAATAAAGTAAGACTCTGTCTCTACAAAAAAAAAAAAATTCAAATGGGTGCCTTGCTGAATGGAGAAAGCCACAGGTTACCACCTCTTCTGCTTCATCTATTTTCACGAACGTGACTTGCCAGTCTCATTAATCCTCTGCCTCAAAATCAGCTGACTCAGTGAGCAGGAACTCCTGTCACACAGGACCTCAAGCATCCTCTTTCTCCTTGGACGCAACGCGCATTCTGTGGCTACGATGTGCTGTGGCTGTAACATAAACTGCAAATATGGTAAGCAACTGACTAACGCTGGCCAACGACCACAATCACTGCCTTACAAAGAATGGCATCTTCATTTTTAATAATATTTGAAATAAAATGAACCAGTTTTAACTCTCACCTGAGAGTTTTAATATGCCTGCCTACCTCCAAGATTGCCCCCCTTTTAATCCATTCTAAAGTTCGCCATGTCCTCAGACCACTTCTTATATTTTTTATAGCTT